CTTGAAGATGTCCACATGTTGATGGGTTTATGTGTAAACGGTATGGCAGTGAATGCGAGAACAAATGTCAACTACTCCATAATCAATAACTCTTGGGTGAAGAATTTCCCGAAAGAGCTAGAAAGCATCAATTTGTCAAAATTACTTGGCTCCGGGAAAAATATGATGCATTTGACTTGAACAAAGATTCCACCATCGAAAAAATTTAAGAAAACTAGAATTTATATTTTATTGCTTTTCGCTAGTTTATTATTTCCTTACACTAATGGTAACACAATACATCTTATGTATTTACCATTATTAGCCGACTTTAGTAAAATAGGTAGATACGGCTGGGGATCTATAATTTTATCGCATCTATACAGAAACCTGTGTAGATGCGCTAGAAAAGATGTTCGTAATTTTGCTAGTTGTTCAACACTACTACAAGCTTGGGGATGGTCAAGGATGCCAAATCTAGCGCATAGGAATCGTAATCCATTTCACTTTCCATATGCAACCAAGTAATTTGAAACTACTCTTTTGTGTTAAACTTATTTACCATGTGAACAATATTTAAGTATTATTTATTTTTAGATGGTCTTCCTATGGGATGGATTACGAAAAGACTCCTCATCATTGTGCACCTGGCTATCAGACTTTCATCGATCATTTCGAAGAAGCTGATGTAATATTATTAACCATAGATTACTAATAATTACTATTATTTTATATAGTTTGTTAAACTAATAACTTATTTTTTTAACAATTTTCGTGGAGGCCCTATCTAGGACTTGATGATACTGATCCGACTGATAGTCACGTGTGGAGTGCAAAAACATTTATCATTTGTTTTACTACAGTTGAAATGCATCATACTGATAGGGTAAAACTCCAATTTTGCATTATGCAAGGCATATCGGATGCTCCACAGTGCATGGAGGAGTATCACAAAAGTATGGTGAACGACCAATGGGCATATAGCAATTGGAAAGATTATTACAAACAGGAGCGTCGGCAATGGCATAACCACGAAGATAAAGTCTTAAAAGGAGATGTCATGTTAGAAGAATGTAAACCAAGTAAGGAATACATGGAATGGTATAAGTTTATTACAAATTTGTATCTGTCACCAAATAACTTCTTATTTGACCCTCGTAATTTTCCAACATCTTAAAACGTCCAACACACCAGACCATCATCAAGAACTTACACCCAACAACCATTCATGAGCACCCAAGAACCGTTCTTCCCAACACAACCATCTTTTACCCAACAACCTTTCTTCCCAACACAACCACCTTTTACCCCAAGCCAACAATACCATCAACAAAACCCTTCATCTAACCCCATCCAATGGGGCACCCAACAACAATATTCTTCATCTAACCCCACACAATGGGGCACCCAACAACAATAATCACATTTTAGCCAGTCAACATCAACCAGTCTACCACAAACATCATTAACACTACAAACCCCACGTGACCCCAACTTCCAAACACCCCAACAATGAATGCCTATTTCCCAGCCACAACAATTTACCTCCTAGGATTGTTACCAACCCTTAATAAATAGCTCAATGTCTTCTAATCTTATACCAAATAGGAATTGGGATGGAACCAGATTAAGTTATGGAAGTGCAGCCGAGACAAACTATACCAATGAGGACATGATTGGGGAATTTTTAATGGGCGGGTGTGACGCGGCACCTTCAACTCAACCACAAAATGAAGAAGGAAATCGCATAACAGGCCAACATACCAGAAGAGCTCTTGCTTGTGGAACTCACCAACGATTGACACGACCCAGTCAAAATTTTTGTTTAATTATAGTGGAATTATATAATTTAAAAATGAAAAAAAATTAATTCAAGTAAATTAGTGAAATTTTTGTTTAATTATAGTGTATTTTGTTTAATTATAATGTATTTTTTTTAATTATAGCAACTCAATTTAAAAAACCCAAAAAAGAAAAAAACGTTAACACTGTTCCGTCCATCCAATGGGCGGATCCTCTATAAGTTTAAAGCTTTCGCCCAATACTTTTGCGGATGGTCAAAATTTTCCACTACTCCACCCATTAACTTGGCGGATGCTTTGTGACAAAAATAAAATTTGTTCGAAAAGATGGTAGATTGAGATTATTGAGTGAAGAGGATGGTATATTGAGATTTAATGTGCAAAAAGAGGGCAAGACGGTAAAAATTTCTATTACTAGGTCCCAAGCAGGCCTCAAGCATTAATCCTTATGAAGAGTTTATACTGGAATATTTGCGGTTTGGCTAAAGCTCCCTCTAGACCAGCTTTAAAGAGACTCATAAAATTTCATAAGCCAGACTTCTTTTTCATTGCAGAACCCAAAACTAGTTTCTCTAATCTTCTAAATTATTGGTTTCAAAAGTTAGGTTTCTTGCCTTTTGGTTTTAACAATTTGGAGTAACCTTATTTGTGATGTTTTTGTACTGTTGATTTTCTCCTACCATAGTCTCTATCTCGGATCAACTGGCTGCCTTCTCTTTTATTTTGGATAATTGTCAGCTTGCTTGTGCAATGGTTTATGCCTCTACCAAAACCATTAAAATGAGGGAGCTTTGGAGAGATTTATCTGATCTTTAATCCAATCATTCTTTGTCGTGGTCGTTTATTGGAGATTTCAATGCAATTGTGGGTGCTCATGAACACAGAGGAAGGAATAGCACTGCTAAAAGGCCTATGTTGTATTTTTGCAATTGATTGGATAGTAAGAAGTTAATTCACATTCCTACAATAGGTGCAAGGTTTACTTGGTCCAACAAAAGAGATGATCTCTATAGTATTGATAAAAGGATAGATATATGTATTGGAAATAGACTTTGGTTTGATTCTTGTTCTCAAATCTCTGTTTCTACTCTAGCTAAGCTTTGTTCAAATCATTATCCTATTTTACTGGAATTTCAAATATCTTTGGTTAGGGTGGTTTCACAACTTAGATTCTTGAAAACATGGACTTTCCATATTGAATGAATGTCTTTGGTTGCTAGCAGTTGGTATCAGAACATTGTAGGTTATCTGATGTATGTTCTCAATAAGAAATTGCAATTGTTAAAATGAGTTCTTAAAGGGTGGAACAAATTCATCTTTGGTAATGTTACTGCCAATGTGGATAGTGCAGAAGCAGTGCTAAAGGATATTCAAGATAAAATCCAGCATATGGGTAGCAGTGATAATCTCAAAAAGTAACAGTTCAAAGCTCAATGTAAGTTTTCAAAAGCTTTAGACACGAAGGAATAATTTTGGAGAGAAAAATCCAGAGTCAAATGGAAGTTGGAAGGAGACTTAATTACAACTTTTTTTCATCGTATTTCCAAGATCAAAAACAAGTTGAAGGAAATTTCTTTGCTTAAGCATGATACCAAGATAATTTCTGATCTTATTAATATTGCAGGGTGCACTGTGAACTATTTTAAGTTCTATTTTCCACTAACATTTCTCGTTTGTAGGACTTTAGTTTTGTGGATGTCTCTTATCCTCTCATGGTGGATGATAGCATGAATGATGTATTAGCTATGCTTCAGTTTATTGCGGAGATCTTTGATGTTGTGTTCTCCCTAAACAAAGATAGCGTGTCGGGTCCGGATGGTTTCGGAGCTACTTTTTATCAAACATTGTGGGAGATGATAAAGGTGGATGTTATGAATGTGGTGCTGCAGTTTTTTAATACTGGATGGATTCTTCCATGGTTTAATTCCCACTCTATTGTTCTTATGCCTAAAATCAAAATTATATCGAAGATTCTATAGGCTTGCAATTCTTTTGCCTAATATAATTTCATAGGAGAAACAGGGTTTCATTCAAGGCATGAACATTCAAGATTGTATTGGTTTAGCTTCCGAAGACTTTAATTTTCTAAACTCTAATGTTTGGTGTGGGGGAATTTGGCTTTGAAGGTGGACATTTCTAACACCTTCGACAATCTCAATTGGAAGTTTATTTTGAAGCTGATTCATAGCTTCGGTTTCAATAGTAAATTTTGTTTGTGGATTAGTATTATTCTTCATTCGGTTCATATGTCTATCAATAATAATGGGACTTTACATGGTTATTTCAATTGGTCTTGTGGCGTTCGTCAAGGTGATCCGTTTTCTCTGCTTCTTTTTTGTATCACATAATATGTGTTAAGCAGGAGAATTTCTCAGTTGGTGGCTTCTAAAGAGCTTGAGATTATTTCGGGTCCGAGAAAGGTTTTAGTGTCTTCACACATTATATATGTTGATGTCATATTCATCTTCTGTAAGCGAAAAGTTTCCAATATCAAGTGTCTCATTAAACTTTTCAAAGATTATGCAGCTATTTTGGGGTAGGTAGTCAATTGCAGTAAATCCTTTATATTTGGTAGTTCTATGTCTTCTTCTCGTCTAAATATTCTTACTAAGATGTCTAGTTTCAACAAGGGGACTGCTCCATTCATCTATCTTGGCGTTCCCATTTTTAAGGGCATGCCTAAGAGTCTGTTCTTGCATCCTATTACTGATAAAGTCATTAATAAACTAGCTTCCTAGAAAGGTTCTTAGCTGTCCTTTGCAATAATAGTGGAGTTGGTTAGGTCTGCCATTCAAGGGATGCTTATCTACGTCATTCCAATCTATTTGTGGCCTTTATCTCTTGTTCGATAATTAGAGTGCGCATGGAAAACATTTGTAAACTTTTGTGAAAGTTGGGTTCGATATTAGATCTCTATTTGCTATAAACTAAGCTTCAAATTTGAAAATTGTGTGGAAACTTCTTAACTATGATGCATGGGCAGTTCTTCTCAGGAATATAATTTTTAGAATTGATAAACTCCTAAAGCATCACATTTTCTCTTCCATATGGACATCTGTGAAGCTAGATTTAGCTATTGTTATGGACAAATCATCTTGGTGTATCGGTGACGGTAACTCAATCAATCTTTGGAATGATAATTGGTGTGGCTCCCCGCTTGCTCTTGATGATGATGCTCCTATTATTTTCAATGATAAAAAGTCAGCACCATTTTAATTAATGAAAAATGGTAATTTTCTAAGTCGATAACTCTGATTCTAATTTCTATTCTAGTGCGGATCAACAATTGTCATATTTTGTTTGATATTTGGCTGGATAAAAGAGTTTGGCATTCCTCCCTCACAGTAGATTTATCTTTGAAAATTGTTTATAATGTTAATAGGATTAGAGGCCCTCGCTTGGAGTGGTGGAGTTGTATTTGGGCTAAATCGATTCCTCCATACAAGTCTTCTTTGGTTTGGCGGTTGCTTCATTGAAACTCGCCAACAAATGAGCAATGAAAATAATGAAAGTTATCATTTTCGTCACGTTGTGTTCTTTGTAAGAGGACGAAGGTAATCGATATTCATATTTTCTTCGAATGTGTTTATGCTTCTAAGCTATGGAGTTGGTTGGTGAATAAGCTTAATTTAAATTTTGGCGTTCATGGTTGTCTGATGTTTGGAGGTATTGTGGCTCATCGGGGTCTGAGCAAGGTAAAAGTTTATTCAGAGTGGATTTCATCTATCTTCTTACTTCCATATGGATGGCTAGAAATTAGGAGAAATTTAATAAGTGTTTCATTCATGTTAATTCTTATATCTCTTATATATTGTTGTAACTTTTACTCATTTAGGTGTGCATGATTTTATGCTCCTTACAAGTCTTAAGGTGATTATTCGGCCCCATAAAGCTCCCAATATTATTGAGGTTATATGGAAACCTCCTCCTAGAAACTACATTAAATTGAACTGTGATAGCGCCTTTATCACTTCTTCGGGGTTGTCGGCTTCTGGTGGCATTGCTAGGGACAATGATGGTGGTATTTTAGGAGTGTTTTCTTCTTTCTTGGGAGTGGCAAATTTATTAGAACATAGTTTGATTCTACAACCCTTAATTAGAGTTTTGATGATAACAAACACAAAGAACAAATATGCACTCTAAAATTGTGTTACTGTGTATGCAGAAGTTCTGACCAAAGCAGCATCAGAAGTTAAGCTATATAAGCTTTCTTGCTGGGGTAATCAGAATTTACGCTCAAGAATGATGATCAGAACATGTGCTGAAGTGAAGAATACTCTGATTCTGAACAGAAGGTTCATATACAATCAGATTCTCACAACTCTAAGTCATTAATGTTCTGAAGCAATTGCAGCATACAAGATTGTAAGATTCTGAAGCGTTACTATTCAATAAAGACAGCATCACATGCAACGGCTTCACTCAGACAAGAATCTTCTCAATATGGAAACATCTTAAATGTCCATTATCATCCTTTATGTTGGACAGGATTCCATTTCCTACATAAACAAGCTAAGAGGACAAATCGTTTACGATTTTTCAACACCACTGCAATACATCTCTAAACGCTGCAAGCTTACATACTCTTTTCACGCTCAAAATTGTGTAAAATATCACAGTTGTGATAACTGTTTTTGTAAAGAAAAACAATGATACACATAATTCTTTTATCTTGTTTAAGCCAGTTTTTCCTTGAGATTGACCGGGTTGTGGTTGTACTTAAGAGGACTTTGACAGTTGTCAAAGTAGTGATTGTAATCAATTTTTGATTAGTGAATTAAGTCCTCGTTGGAGAGAGGCGAAATCACCTTGACGGGTGGACTGGAGTAGTTTGAGATCAAACGAACTAGGATAAAAATATTGTGTCTTTGTGCATTTGATTTTAAGTTTTAAATTCACCCCCCCCCCTCTTGTGTTTTTCACTTCTTCAATTGGAATCAGAGCGCCTGGTTCTGAGTTCATACATTTAACCGTGTCAGTACAAGATCCAAGCTTCAGAAAAACACTATGGTGGGACCAAGCCAAAACATCAGCAATGACTATCATGAGTACAAGGACAGAATCAGTGGCAAACCTACAGTCTTTGATGGAGAAAACTTTAACTACTAGAAAGACAGAATTGAGAGCTTCTTTCTGGCCCATGATAATGATCTATGGGACATGGTAATTGATGGATACACACATCCAGTGGATGAAAGTGGTCAGAAGATAGACAGAAAAAGGATGTCTTACCAGCAAAAACTTGATTTCATAAATCATCATAAAGCCAGAACAATACTTCTCAGTTCTATCTCATACTCAGAATATGAGAAAATCTCAAACAGAGAGACATCCAAAAATATGTTTGACTCTCTGAGAATGACGCATGAAGGCAAATACAAGTCAAAGAAACCAAGGCCCTTGCGTTCATTCAGAAGTATGAAGCATTCAAGATGGAAGACAGTGAATCTATAGAAGCAATGTTCTCAAGATTCCAGATCCTTGTTGTTGGGCTGAAGGTTCTTAACAAAGGAAATTCTACTGCTGATCACGTAAAGAAGATCATCAAAAGTCTACCCAAGCAATGGAGGCCAATGTTCACAGAACATAAGCTAGCCAAAGATCTCAACAAGATATCTCTGGAGGAACTTGTCAGCTCCCTCAGAAATCGCGAGATAGAGCTAGAAGAAGATGAGCCTCAAAAGCAAGGTAAGCCACTAGCCTTAAAATCTAACAGAAAATTTGATTATAAGGTTTTGCAGGCTATGGAAGAAACCTCTGATGGATCCTCATCTGAAGAATATGAATTGTCTCTCCTCTCCAGAAAGGTGAATCAACTGTGGAAGCAGAGATAAAGGAAATTCATAAATCCTAGAAGATCGGAGAATCAAAATGAATCCTCCTCCAGATACAGAAAGTATGAGTCTTCCTCTGGACATAGAAGATCTGAAGGTTCTTCAAGACATAGAAAGTCAAATAACAAGGACATCATTTGCTATGAGTGCAATGAGCAAGGGCACTACAAAAGTGATTGTCCAAGGCTTCAGAAGGAGAAGCCCAAAAATAAGTTCTTCAAGGAGAAGAAGAAAAGCCTCATGGCAACATGGGATGATTCAGACACTTCTGGTGCTGACTCAGAGTCAGATGATGAAAGAGAAAACATAGCTCTCATGGCAAACGTGTCAAAAGACAGTGAAGCTTCTGGTTCAGACTCAGAATCAGACACTGAAGAGGTATTCCCTGACTCCACTATTAATTTTACTAAGGCTGAACTTGCAGAAAGTCTAAATGAAATTCTGGAAAGGTATTAGTAAATCAGAGTCAAATTCAAGAACCTAAAAAGGGATTTTGTCTCTGACTCTGAAAAGACTAAGAGTCTCAGATTAGAGAATTCTGAGTTAAAAGAAAAGGTTTCAAAATTAGAAAACGATTTGCAAAACTCTCAGAAGGAAATAATCTTAGAGACTCCCAGTAATGCTGATGAGATCATCAAAGAGTATGATCACAACTTTCAGAAGTTTCTGGCTAAAAACATAGATAGAAGCAAGATGGCTTCAATGATCTATGGAGTTAGCAGGAATGACAGAAAAGGGATAGGATATCAAGGTAAGGTATCTATACCTAATAAAGTCATGGACCTAGTCATAAAACGCACACCACTTAAATCACACTTCATATATAGGCACACACACGACCTAAAATACTCTAGTAATGATTACCCTGTCAAACCAAAATTCAACCAGAATTTTGGCAAAACTAACAAACCAGGACCCAAGAAGATATGGGTACCTAAGGAAAAAATTATATATGTAGCAGATATCTTTAGCAGCAAGGTTAAAACACCAGTCATGGTACATGGACTCTAGATGCTCTCGACACATGACGAGAAGAAAGCATATGTTCCAAATCCTGAAACTTAAACCTGGAGGCTACGTGGGCTTTGGAGGCAACCAAAGAGGAAAGATCATTGGCTCTGGAACAGTAGGTAATGGAAATCTCCCCTCTATAAATAATGTGCTATTAGTTGATGGATTAATGCATAACCTGTTATCCATAAGCTAATTAAGTGATAACGATTATGATATAATCTTTAATCAAAATTCATGCAAAGCTGTTAGTCAGAAAGATGGAACTATCCTTTTTAATGGAAAGTGGAAAAACAACATTTATAAGATAAAACTTTCTGAACTAAAAAGTCAGAATGTAAAATGTCTTCTCTCTGTTAACAATGAGCAATGGGTATGACACAAAATATTGGGGCATGTTAGTATGAGAAGAATATCTCAGATTAACAAACTCAATCTGGGCAGAGGACTTCCTAATTTGAAGTTCAGCTCAGATGCTCTGTGTGAAGCATGTCAGAAAGGAAAATTTGCAAAACCCGCTTTTAAATCTAAAAATGTTGTTTCCACCTCTAAGCCATTAGAACTTCTGCACATAGACTTATTTGGACCAGTAAAAACTGCGTCTGTTAGTGGAAAGAAGTATGGGTTAGTGATCGTAGATGACTATAACAGATGGACATGGGTAAAGTTCTTAAGACACAAGGACGAGTCACACTCTGTGTTCGTTACATTCTGTAACCAAGTTCAGAATGAAAAGGATATTAGAATTGTCAAAGTTAGAAGTGATCATGGTGGAGAATTTGAAAATAAAAACTTTGAATCATTTTTTAATGAAAAAGGCATCTTGCATGACTTCTCTTGTCCTAGAACTCCCCAACAAAATGGATTTGTAGAACGAAAGAACAGAACACTGCAAGAAATGGCCAGAACCATGATCAATGAGACTAACATTGCTAAGATCTTCTGGGAAGAAGCAATTAACACAACGTGTTACATTCAGAATAGAATCTCTATAAGACCTATTCTGGAAAAGACTCCATATGAACTATGGAAGAACAGAAAGCCCAACATTTCTTATTTTCATCTGTTTGGATGCACTTGTTTCATTCTGAATACTACAAATTATCTGAACAAGTTTGAATCTAAAGCACAAAAGTGTATTATGTTAGGATACTCTGAACGCTCAAGAGGGTACATAGTATACAATACAGAAACACAGATTGTTGAAGAGTCAATCAGTGTTAGATTTGATGATAAGCTTGACCCTCAAAAGTCAAAGCAGAATGAATTCTTTGCAGATATAGAAGTTGAATTCACAGGTACTGAAGACAACTCATCAGAAGTTCTCATCAGATACGCTCCAACAACTTCAGAAAGAAATGTTACAAGCAATCCAGCACCTTCTGTTGATCAACTCCAGAAAAGGTTTTCCAGAAGCAGCATAGCTCACCCAGAAGATAAAATTCTGGGAAAGAAGGATGACCCAATTAGAACAAGATCAACATTCAGAAACTCTGAAGAATCCCTCATGGGACTAGTCTCTCTGATTGAACCAACAACAATTGATGAAGCTCTTCTGGACATTGACTGGATTCTGGAAATGCAGGAGGAATTAAATGAGTTCACCAGAAATGATGTATGGGATCTGGTTCCCAAACCAAAAGGATTCAACGTCATTGGAACAAAGTGGGTGTTCAAAAACAAACTGAACGAGCAAGGAGAAGTCATCAGAAACAAAGCACGACTGGTGGCACAAGGTTATAGTCAGCAAGAGGGGATAGACTATACAGAAACTTTGCTCTGGTCGCCAAGTTAGAATCTATCAGACTCTTAATCTCATTTTATGTAAACAATGGCATCACTCTGTATCAAATGGATGTCAAAAGTGCATTCCTAAATGGCTACATAGATGAAGAGGTATATGTGCACCAACCCCCTGGGTTTGAGAATTCCAAACACCCAGAATATGTTTTCAAACTAAAGAAGTCACTTTATGGTCTGAGACAAGCTCCCAGAGCTTGGTATGAAAGACTAAGTAACTTCCTGTTAGAAAAGGAATTCACCAGAGGGAAAGTGGACACAACCTTGTTCGGTAAGACATTTAAGAATGACATTTTAGTGTGTCAGATTTATGTAGATGACATCATCTTTGGATCCACTAAACCTTCTCTGGGAAGAGAGTTTTCTAAGTGCATGCAGGCAGAGTTTGAGATGAGCTTAATGGGGGAACTCAAATTCTTTCTGGGTATTCAGATAAACCAAACCTCAGAAGTAACTTACATTCATCAGAGAAAATATGTCAGAGAACTTCTGAAGAAATTTGATCTCTCAGAATGTAAGCCCTCAAAGA